GGGGGGGCTAAGCTTAATAAAAATTTTATATAATTATAAAAAACATATAAAAAAATATTTTAGCGCTCAAATTTGAACGCTAAACGGTTTAAGGGATAGTATATATATACTATAAAAAATAAAAAATAAAAAGGTAAAAAATTTTAAATTTTTCTAATGATACTAGTGACACTAGTAACACTTATCAAAAAAGGTTTTTTAGCCTAGAATTCTTAAAGAGCCTATTGTTTGCATCACTAGCTTTTGTCACCAGTTTTTTTTTTTACTAACACTAGTAACAAGTATTATTTTTGTTTATCTCTAAATTATCTACCGGTATCTGCATCAAAGCCAACTTAGCTAGCTTTTTCTGATGATAGTGTTCTTTTGCTCTATATTTTTTTGCATAATCATTGCAAAAATCATATTTAGATTTAGTCTTCTTGTCACATTCTTTTTCTTTGCAAAGAACTTGCCTAGAATTCCTATGAACTTTACATCCATCTGGATGATAGCAAGGCCAATTGTATACTTTTCCAGTTCTAAGAATATATGAACAATAATAAAATACCTAGTTGGTACTTCTCCTCATTTGTATATATTGATTAATATTTTTGGGAAATTAATTTCATTTTAAACTTTTTTCTTGTAAATAATATACCTGTAGTTTTAGTAAAGTTAGAAAATATCTTTCAAAAAATAAGTCAATTAGACTTCTTCAAAGACATGCCTCCTACCTCCTACTATCATGAGTTTAAAGCTTCCAATATAGATCAATACTTGTATAAAATTTGTGATGATAGTGTTAGACCAAGAAATTTCTAGACACAAACAATGTAGATAGTATCAAAACCATACCCTCAGATCATGAAGGCCATTCTTTACATGAATTCATTGATAGAGATAAGCCACTTTATCCTGTTATAGATTTTGACTAACTATATAGTAGAAACATTAAATACTATCACTTCTAAGCTTTTAGACAATTAGGCGAAAAATTTACTTTGTTGCACCTTTAAAGATACTTGTCTAAAAATATTTCCAGAATAGGATAAAACAACTATAACTATTGCCAAAAATAGTAATGTAAACAAAATATTTATTCATGTCTTAACTTTTGGTATGAGGCTAAAAAATATTATTTAGATAGCAATGTTTACTAAGCTTGTTCATAAAAAACTTCCAATAGAATTGCAAGGGTGAGATATAATTAATAATATTGCAAATAAGTAATCTTTTTTCCTAAGAATGCTTGAATTGCCCAAGTATAATGAAGAAACAAAAGAACATATTCATATAAAAAGTGCTATTTATCTAAAAAATAGATCTGTCTTTGACTTTATGATCCACCTGCAAATAATAAATCAGAAGTCATTAACAGTTTTCTCTTGACCATTTCAGAAACAGAATTAGTAGAAATCTCTAATACAAGTAGTACTATTACTGAAGCTGAACTCGAGCTCAAACTCAAACTAGTAGAAAAAATGCTCGAAAAGGCTAGTATTAGAGAATTTAACTACTTATTTCTATCAGAAACAACTCCTAATATCTTTTCTCATAAACGTATAAGCCCATTGTATTGTTTATTATATAATTAGAAATATATAAATGATAATACATATATTATTCAGAATAAAAAATCCTATAGTTTTCACTACTATTATGCAAATCAGAAAAAGCTACTAGAGATAAAAAAAGCTTTCAATAAAGCTTACTCTTAGTAAGATGGCCTTAAGCTAAGAAAAAAACCTTTTAGCTCTAGTAAAATTAGAACAATCTAGAATTACAAATCCAAATAACTATTTTGTGTGATAGGATTTACTATATATGTATACTTCAGATAAGAAATTCTCCTGCACTGAAATTTATGAGGCAATCCAATCAATAGTCATCTATATTTAAAAGAAAATACCGATCTGGTTATTAAAACATAAAGATTCAGAAAATGGACTTTATTTTGCTATAGAATCTGAGCTAAAGCTTGCAAAGTTTGAGATCAAAATAATTGAATATAGGAGTGAAACAGTAAAGTTGAAATTATTAATAGACCAGACAGTTATTAAAAATCTAATAGTTTATAAAGATTATAATTTCTTCTCATATCCTATAAATACCCTTTAGCCGGATTCAGATTTCTTTAACCTTTTCCTAAAATTTTTGGCTAAACTAGCATCAGCAACTAATAAAAAAATTATGGATCTGATTTTTTGGCATATATTAAATATGATTTGTGATAGAAACAAAAAGCTTAATAAGTATATCTGGAACTAGTAGGCATATTTAGTATAGAAACTGGAAAAGAAGCCCTGAACAATTCTGGTATTAAAATCTATATTGCAACAGTGTGGGAAAAATATTATAACTGATTTTATTGGTGACAAAGTCTTGAGATCACACCTCTACTTTGCAATATCAGATTTAGATAAAATTCTTAGGCATTTTAATAGTGCTATTCAAGCTCAAAAACTTATTGTTATAAATAAGACAGGAATGTCTAGTGGAAAATGGCACAGATTTAATAGATATCTTAAATCTCTCATAACAGAACAAATGATAGCTATAGAGCATAAAGGTCTTAAAACTATGAAAATAAATGATTATACTAAGTATATGGTTACAAGTAATCAGGATGCTTCACTCAAAATAAATATAGAGGATTCTCAAATATTCTGTTTTAATATCTCTGTACGATGTAGGAGAAATACAAAGTATTTTTATCAACTAGATGAAATTCTTAACAATTCTGATATGCTTAAAATAGTCTTGAAATATCTTATTACTCGTGATCTTTCAGATTTTAATTCACAAAATATCCTTTCTACCAAAATGAAAATAAATATAATATACAATCAGCTTCTTAGTTCCACCTGATTTATTATTGACTATATTGGATCTTGGAATGGAGATAATATAGTTTAGATAAGTTGTATATTATTATACTAAAAATATCTTGAATAGTGTGAAGATAATGATAAAAAGCTATTTTTTAACAATATTTTCAGTAAGAAGCTATTAGAAAAAAATATTATTAAAAGCAAACAAGTACGAGCAGATGACAAAAAAAAGGAATGAGTATATATTTTTGATTGCCCCAAGATCATAACCAAGCTCCATGAATCTGGACTAAGTGATATCAAAGAATTTTTTGATATATCTCAAGATGAGTTGCTTACCAATAAGGCAACAAATATACCCATATTTAATGTACCAGAAATCACTTATTCATAAATAACCCTACTATAGCCAGTAAAAAATACATCACTACCTAGTAGTAAGAGAAAGAAGAATAATCAGGATAATTTGACCCAAGCTCTTTTTGACTATGTGGTAGAACAAGCTAAAGAACTAGTAGCCTCTATATCTGAAACATCTGAGACTTTTAAAATACCTGAGACTTCCAAACCACCTAAGCCAAAAATTAATAAGCCCAAAACTAGTAAGCTTCTCAAACCCAGTAATAAAAAAGCTTTTTCCATATTCCCGGCTAGACAATAGTATAAAGAATGTCGCAAAAAAAAGGCAAATAAACTTGGTGAGGATCCAGATATCTTTATAACCATCACAGAAAAAGATAGGCTCGATTCTACCATATTTTGTTATAAAATAGAAATAGATACATAAATGTGTGATTATACAAAAAAAGGTAAAGAAAACCCCAATGAATATATGTAAATAACAGTACAAGAAAAATTGATAAGGGAAGAAATTATCTGGCATGGGCTTAAGGATGATGGAATTACAACCTTGTGGCTTAATACCAATGAGAAATAGAAAAAAACAGTAAGCATACTCCAGAAGAATAGTATACTTTAGTAAAGAGCAGGTTAATAGATATTGATAAAGATAGGATGTTTAGTTCTTTACAACTAGGCAATATAAAATTCTAAATTATTATTATTTTATTTTTATATATCAAAATACTTTTTTCAAATTGAAGTTTCTCAGATATAATATAACCTAACAGTTATATACAAACTAATAGTTATTTTACAACCTATATTCATATTACTATATTTGCGATTGTAACAAAATACATTGCAGACTACAAACTCAATAAAAATATGAATAATGAAGAACTTAGCCAGCATGCCTTAGCATTACTTGAGCTTTTAACAGATAGAATAAAAAGAGATAAAAGTCATCAGCATTTTCAAGAAGGATATGGTTTTAGCAGAGAATAGGCATTTGTATTAATCCTTTTTTAAAGAACTGATCAAAGTAAAGGTCAAGAAATCTTCAAAGAAGAGGTGTTGAAAGTCAGAGAAGTGAATCTATGTTAAGTTTCTAATTTTATCCTGGAAGGAGAAATAGTTGAGAAGACAGCTCAGCGTATTATTTAGGACAGTCTTAGTAAAAAAGGAGTAAATACTATAACCAAGGTTTTAGTTAAAACAGTGCCTAATATTATTGCTGGTTTATTACATATATCTAGGCTTCAAAGAGAATTGTGAAAGCTCAATACTCTAGAAAAAATAATCTCTGCTACATTGAATTGAGAGACAACCTGCATATTTAATAAAATATAAATAGAGTATTACAAATAGTATAAAAATAAAGGTATTGATTATCCAGATGAATTTTATTAAAATCAGTTAGAAAGAGATTGGATGACTATACAAAGCACCTTATGGATAATATATCTAGTAAACCTGATAAACTAGCCCTAGCTAATATTATGATAATGCTTTGTGTATGTCTTGCTAAACTTAGAATATTACATATAGCTAATGGTAAAGTAACTGGCTATATGAAAAATCAAGGCCAAAAAGATATTTCTTGAATGTTTAGATTATTAAAAAGAGATGAAGAGTGGGCTAAACCACTACTTACTTGGATTTAGAATGTATCTACCTTTTAATTACATAATTTCTAGAAGCTTCCTAACCAGTAAAAGTAGAGTATATATGTGTAATAAGTGGATCATAATATATACACCAGAGCAAAAGAGTAATAGTAGTATTTCTAGGTTCAGTTCAGTTCATTTTAGGTTTAATAAACCTTGAACTAAATCTGAACATGAACCACAAAATTTGCAGATCATTGAATCTGAACTTTGAATTTATGAACCTGAACTGAACCTGAACTTAAAGTTTTTGTTTATTCAGATTCAGTTCAAAGTTCATAAACATATTCAGGTTTAGTAATAGTTTAGTAACAAAATATAGTAAAAATTTTTTTGTTTCTAGAATTTTCAAATTTGAAATTTTTTAAAAAAATTTTTTTTTACTAAGTAAACCTATTTTCAACTTCTAAGAAAAGTTGTAGAGGAATATCTTGCGATCAGAATAGTAGTTAAAACGTTAAAATTGGTCCAGTAGATCATGAGATATAAGTATTTTAGTTCTTATGACTATATATTTTCTTCTTTATATAAATAATGTAGACAGTTGATTTCTATTTATTTTCTTTTTCTTTATTTTCTTTATAACTTATTATTATTATTTTATTTATTATTATCTTTTATATACTCTACTTTTTATATTTTACAAAAACGCCTATATTATTAACTTTATATAGTATATACATTTGTGTAACTTCAGGACCAATTTTCATTAAGATAATCTTAAAAGTAATGCTATAAAACCCCAGTATTTTGACCCATGGAACAACTTTTGTTAATAGATCTTTAGCTCTTAACATAGTAAAATCTTTGGTAAATCGAAGATTTTCCAAATTATTCTTTGATTTTCTAATATATAACATGTAATTTTTAATTATGTTACAAAGGATTGTCATTTGTGTATCACATAACCTTATACGAAAATTAGTCTTAAAACATTATAAATAGACCCTCTCTCCTACCTTTTGCAAAATAACTTTTACATTTCACCTTCTTTTGGTTATATCTTTTTTATATTATTATATTTTAAACTTTTTTTGTTATAAAAGTTCACTTATAAATAATAAAATATTATTTTTTTTATTTTATCTTTTTATCTTTTTGTCTTTTACTATAAGGCCACAATAGTATGCCATTGCTAAACCATATGTGTCTCTTGTTCTTTTATAAACTTCAATAAGGTACAACAATTATTAGCCTATTACGTACTAAGGCTCTAAAGTTTTATTATCTTGTATAGTTTGTTTTGTTTCTTTTAAATATTAAAACTCTATCGTTATTGAACTGTCAAGTTATTACTTTTTTTTGCTTGCACTCTGTATTGAGTTCAAATCCAAAGCAGTAATAACAATAAAGAAACAAATAGCTGTTGAGACAAAAATAACTATATCACATAATTTACTAGACTGATTTTAATAATTTAACTGCCATTTTGATCACAACATATTTCTCTACAACTTTAATTAGAAGTTAAAAAGAAAGTAATATAGTAAAAATTTAAAATCAATAATATTTTGCATAATTTTATTAATAAAATTATAAAAAATATTATAATCTTCAAAATTTTACTAATTATTTATATCTTTATATAATAGATAAACTTGTTCTATACATAAAACTACACTATATTGGTATACAATTTTAAATTTTAGTTGTCGCACCTCCAAGCTAGCTTGACTATGATACTGAGTTTGAATCCCACTAGCAACAGTTTGGACAAAACTACTTGTGTTATGGTAACTGATCTTTATTAATAAGTTGGGTTCTATCACTATAACTCTAGTCACACTAATGCACCTTGTGCACTAGAAGATTCTGGAAGTATTTGTGTTATGCAGAGGAATACAAACTGGTTTAGACAGTGCAAACCCATAATAAGACTTCTGTAATTATATAAAACTGACAAAGAGGACTTAAAAATTTGAAACCGGCTTGGCAAAACCTGAGCAAAGAAGTAGTGAAGATTTTTAACAGTACCATAAAACAAATCCTGATTGAATTGAAAAATTGGTAGAATTGGCTAACAAGATCCTGCGATAGGGAATCTATCAACCTGGCTACCAAAGTCATACCAGAGGAAAAGGACATGTACTTTGGAAGTATATACCAAGAGAAGGAGACCTGGAAGGTGCTTAAAGCCTGGAAAAACCAACCCTGCCGGGCTAACTGGTTTGAAAAGTTAAGGAAACCAAGGACAAGGAGCATGAAAAAAATAAAAAGTGGGTACCGGGATCTAAATACTGAACTTTGCAAGAGTATTAATAAGTAACTGTAGGGGTGAATAACTTCCAAGTATGTAGATAAAGCCATAGCGTAGGTTACTGAAAGTCTGGGTAAGTGTATATGTAGGATATATATCATTTTAGCAGGTTTATTATAGGGTCAAATACCCCCTTGGTTCTGGAAAAAGAACTAGATAATAGGGGTTAAAGTCTTAGATCCCAATATAAAAGGATTAGATGTGGGTATCATAATACAGATATAGAGTTAGAGAGTTTAAACGGGTAATCTTCTAGCAAATTATAGGTATAGCAACTAGTGTAGAACCTTAGAGTGGACTATTTAAATAGACAATCAAAAGTTGTACATATAGCTAGTTATACTTTCACAATATAAATATATCATAGCTTAGTTTGTATTAAGTATTATATTCAGTATTAATAAAGTATTAAGAGTCTAAGTACTCATCTTAATATTTAAAAAAAAAAAAAAAATTTTAAATTTTAAGAAAAATATTTTTAATTTTGAAAATTTTGATTAAAAATTTAAAATCAAGCATATTTTTCTTAACTTTTACAAATATAAAGTAAACATATACCAATATAGTGTATTTTTATGTGTAAAACAAGTTTACTTTTTTTTTTTTTTTTTTTTTTTTTTTTTAAATGAGGTCTTTTCCTCAGTTTCTTTATTATTTATTATGCAGATTTTTACAAAGTAAGTATACATAATTTTTTCGGGGAAGTGGGGATAGAGCTACTTTACTCTAGACCTTAACCTTAGCTAGGTAGGTCAAAGACCTCTAGACTATGAATCAAGTATGTGTTGTG